TCATCTGTAAAACACTGATGATTATTATCTGCACCAAAGGCTGACGCGAGAAGCACTTAACACCATGTAAGCACGCACATGTGTACCATTCAGAATCTCTGATGCAGACGCGATGGGCTGATCTGTGGCCCCCTCAAGTCCTGTGTTGAAGCCCTCAGAGTGACACTGTGTTTGGAGACAGGACCTTCAAAGAGGTGATGAAGTTACAATGAAGCCAGAGGGTGTGCCCTCTCTCTCCTGTGCTACGCTTTCTACCCCAGTGCACCTGAATTCTTAACTGAGAAGGACAGCAACCTTCTTCAATAAATTTTTCCCAAACACCAAGTACAAAAATAACAGAGGTGCACACGCAGAGCCCAGAAAAGGCGTTTAAGCCAGGCTGGAGGGGATGGTGGGTTAAAATTTAGTCCTGGGGAGCTTCCCGGAGGAGGTGACACATGTGAATGGAGTCACATGGACAGAAAGTCATCTCCTCCCTCAACAAGCATTAATTCATAAGGCTGAGAGGAGGGTGGCTGGAGAGAGAAAGGGTAAGGACTGCCCAGGCCAAGATGTTTAAAAACACAAAGGTGGGCTTAAACACACAAGTCAGGAGAGCAAAAAAAGAAAAGGTCTTAATAAAGATCACAGTGAAAGGGACATGGTCTTCCCAGCTCTTCTATCATTCCCCCAAAGAAGTCCTATCATGATGAAAATTCCCAGCAGGCATCACCACTTCCTGGGTTAACAGCCCCTCCAGATAACCAACCCGGGATTACGTCTGTTGATTCTTTTGCAGGGTCCTTCAGAAAGACAACTACCTCAGAGGCAGCTGATTTTTCTCTTTTAAAATATTCTGTAATAACCTCAATGGGAAAAGAATTTGGAAAAGAATGGATACTTGTATGGGTATAACTGAATCACTTTGTGGTACATCTGTAATGAACACATCATTGTTAATCAACTATACTCCAATATAAAATAAAAATTAAAATAATAATAAAATAAAATTTATCTGAGAGATACTTTAGTCTAACCTGAAGAAAAACAACAACAACAAAAAAACCGATTAAGGTTTGACACCCAGAGCGCAGTAAATGTGAAGAGATTAAGAAGTCAGAGAGATTTAAATAAAAGAAATGAAAAAAAGTCTCTCTGGCTGCTGATGGGAGTCTCTGCTCCCAGGAAGCTGATGACAGGACCCTTCAAGAGCAACTTTATCATCTGGGTGAAGAGCTGCTGCATGAGAGAGAGTTTCTGCTGGGAAGTCTCTTTAATAAAAAGTACAAAATTGGTACCATTCCTCCCAGAAGCTTTCAGGAGATTACATGCTGTGCAGGAAAAAAAAAAAATGAAGGAAAAGAAATAAAATGAGCGATCATTTTAAAGAAACAGCAATCGAAATCTATGGGAACCCTAGGCAAGAGGGCCAAACACACCAGGTTCTGTTAAGCCACACAGAAAACGTCAACACATAACACACACAGATGCCTTTCCCAGTTCAACTAAGCAGGCTATTCCCCGTTGAGGCCATCGACTGCATTGGGACTGGTTCCGTATGAGGCTTACGCACTCTCTGGACATTCACATGAGCAGTTAACAGTCACTGTGCGCTGAGTACTGGCTCGGTGCTAAGCCCTCGACAGGAAGCAGTGCACTCGGCGGTACACCCATGCCCCCAAGCGGGTACTTAGGTTTCCATCTAACGATGAGGCACTTGAGGCCCAGAACGGTTTCGTAGCTTCTCTAAAGTAACACAGCGATAAGTAAACCTGGACAATCTAAACCCAGTCTACTCAACTCCAGGTCCCACTTGTAAGCGCTGGACTACGTCTGCCTCTCAGGGTTGGATCTGAGCATCTCCAGAACCTGGCTGGACTGACAGAAAACTTTGAGACTGCTGGATGTCTGGCTCCAGCGTATGAAGTTTTCCCCGCCAGAAAGCTTTTGGTACCTCAACTCCTGAAAGCATTTTTTAAAGGCAACTTACTGTCTCAGAGGAATGAAAGGGCTACGTTTATAAGACGCAACTCTCCCAAGCAGAAGTGGAGCCTGTTTCCTATGCTTAGAATAGGTACACAACTACCACTCTTAGCTTCAAAGCTTAATTCTTTCTCATCGTTGGAGAAACTAAACAAAGCAACGATAATGAAGGGAAGGCTTCATACAGTACCATTCTCTGTCCATGCGAATAAGCTGTTCCCTGGGTTCCATCTTGATACTAGTACATAAAACCTCAGGGAATTCCCTGGAGGTCCAGGGCTTAGGACTCAGTGCTTTCACTGCTGAGGCCCGGGTTCCATTCCTGGTTGGGGAACTAAGATACCACATGGCCAAAAAAAAAAAAAAACAAATAAATAAAACCTGAGGATTACAGTTAAAATTTTATAAGTAAAAGACTATGGGAATCCTTATACTACAGCTAAGGGGATCATGCCAAATACTTTAATATATATTAAAACATATAACGTTATGTACACTACTGATAAATGAGCCCCAGTGGAGGATGGGATTCTGAAGGCATCCTGGGACCCTCAGAGTCCAGAAGTCGGGGAGTTTTACTCCTTCCCTGGGTCTACCACACTCCAGAGGCCTGCGGAGGTGGGATTTCCAAATTCACTTCCACCAAACTCCCCAAGAAGCACTCTTGCTCTTCCTGAAGCGACTTCTTTGGGAAAACATTAAGAATGACCTTGCTTTTCCAGCACCTAATATTACACCAGAAAGAGCTTTTTCAGGAAGCAAGTGGCTATCTTTTCTTCTTCAATAAAAGCCAAGGCTTCAAAGAGATAAAGCAACTGAACTGAAATAGCTACACCACTCTCCCTACTTATAAATATTACATAGAGAATCCTCTTCAAAGCTGAGGAGCACAAAGTTCCTCTAGTGAAAGCAACCTTTTTTCAAGCCCATGAGAAAGAGCCCTGAGGGGCAGAAACCCGTGGGACCAAGGGCACAGCCGAGCCAGGCCTCCTGCTTCCATCCTCTTCCCCCCATCCCCTTCCTCTGATGCAGCTGTGCCCCCAGGGACCGTCACGATCCCAGCAGGGCAGGGGCGGTATAGGGACACATCCAGATCTGCAACTGCCAGTCCCTCACCTGAGACACCTGCTGCCACCACGAAGCCACTACTACTGAGAGAGGCCAGCACAGACCAGGGGACTGAAATGCTAATTCGTACAAAAGCTAAACTTAAGGGCAGGTGTCTTCCTAAGGATTACCAAATGCAAATCACCTACAGCTTTTCATCCCCCTGCCTTTTGCAGAGATGTATCAATGGCACCAACACCAATCTCTGTCCCAGGCGCAAACCACGGATTCACGCTAACTTTGCTCTCTCCAGGCCTAACAAGCAATCCGTCATCTTTTAGGGTCTCCTGGACATCCCCCCTTCTTCTCCAGTGTCACATCCTGGTCTGGATCTCATCAGCTCGCAGGCCTAATCCATCATTCTTTCCTTCATCCGTCAAACATTTCGGAGCACCTACTGTGTTCCAGGCACTAGAATAAACAAGGCACACAGGAATACTGCACTGCTTTCGTTCCCCCTCGGCCTCCCAGTGGGGAAGAAAGACATCTGGATTAAGAACACATCACAATCCTGTGTAACAAGTGTCATGAAGCGGGACTTCCCTGGCGGTCCAGTGGTTAAGACTCCGAGCTTCCACTGCAGGGGACACGGGTTCGATCCCTGGTCGGGGAACTAAGATGCCGCAGGCCCCACACAGTGCGACCAAAAAAAAAAAAAGGGTCATGAAGCAAAGTGTGTCCAAACTTCACTGAGAAGGCTTCACACAGGCTGTGGCGTCTGAGCTGACTCTTGACAGGTAAGTAAAAGGATCTGGGGTGAAGCGGATGGAGAGGGAGGAAACGATACTTCTAAAGGCACAAAGACGAGAAGGAATGCCCTGGCTCAGAAAGGACCATCAGTTCATTGTGGTTGGGATGCCAGATGCATGGAAGGAACAGGCGCTAAGGTAGGCTGCAGTCAGATTCAGAAAGGAACAGGTCATCGCAAGGAACATGGAGCACTACCATTGGTAATGGACAACCAGAAGGTCCAAACTTCAGCCACAATCAACCTGAACAAGAGCTTGATTTCACCTCTAATGTGTTGGAATTAACTGTCAATACCTAAAAATTAGAAAATTTTATATAAAAATCTGGATTCTTGGCTTCATAGAGAAAAGAAAAATCTGGCAACACTGGGCCAACGTTCCCAAGTGGTGACAACTGTTTGGATCTAAGCAGCAGGTGTATCTCATCATTCAGATGAGATACCTATTACGGAATTCATGACCATCCTCACCTGGCCCCTGAAGACATCTGAATTTGCAATCCCCAGTTTAAAGGAGAGAGTTGCAGTAAGATGCATGTTACAGGAAAGCAACAGGGGCAGTAAAACCGGAGGCAAGAGGCAAAGTTAGAAAGACATTACAATAGCACAGGGGGGAAGTAACAAAAGCCCGAACTGAGTGAGGACAATAAACCCAGCAAAAGGGTTGATGGTAATGAGAAAAAGGTAATGAGTCAAGAAACGTTTAACTTGCTCCAGGTGCAAAAACACTTAATCGGGTAATTTCCGTGGGGCATTTGTTCAAGGCTACATAGGAGACTATATTAAGAGAATGGAAAAATGATTCAGAACTAATTTTCCATTAAAACACCAAGTGAAAAAAAATTAAAAATAAATTAAAAAAATAAAACACCAAGTGGCTCTTTAGTAAACTGTGTGGTAAGTCCGCCCGAAGGCCATCAATCAGCCTGGAGAACTGATGAGGTCCAACAACCACGGTCCGGGGATTCTTAACCTGGCTCTCGTGTCCGTTTTCCAGCTGGGACAGAACAAACTCTGACTGCAAGCTTTCCGAGCTGAGCCCTCGACAAGTGCTGTTTACAAGCAGCCAAGCAGCGGGTGGGATGTAAACCACTGCAACGTCTCGCACCGCCACCAGCAACTACTTCTTAAACTCATAAACCCGTCCAGCTCCTCCGAGGAGAAGGCCCTCCGGAGAACTTACACAAGCCGTTGACGTCCAGCATGTTGGAGATGCCCCGGTCACTCATGTCCACTTCCGGCTGGTTCTTCTCCCGGCTCTCCTCCACCAACTTTTTCAGAGACTTGGACATGACCTGTACCAAACGACAACAACACAGCACGTGGGCGACGGCCAGGAGGTTGCAGAGAGAGAAATGAGGAAACCCCCGGCTGGCACTCTGCAGTTTTCGCCTGGCCTTGGAAAGTGGGCACCCGCAAGCAGGGTCCGGGGGCAGGGAGGGGGATGGGGAGGGCGGGACAGGGAGTGGGAAGGGTCCAGCACCGTTCCCGCCGCGGAGAGAGAAGCAAACACAAGGGCAACGCCACACACATACTCACTGCGGAGGGCTGCACCTAACAGGCTGCGCGTGGGAACAACAGGCTTCTGCAGGGCTCACTCCGGCGGCGAGAGATGCACTCCACTCGGTCTGTGCAAAACGAGCACCCGAACGAGGAACACGCCCTGTCCCGGCACTCGGCGCAGGCGCACACCGGGCCACTCTCAGCTCCTCGCCCCGCCCGCGCCAGACCGTTCCCTAATTAGGAGAACAGCTTACTAGACGTGGCTTAGCGCGAGACCTCGCCCACAAAAGAATGCGTGCCCCGAGGCCGACCAATCACGTTTGCTGTTCGGCCTCGGGACTCCGCCCCACCCGAGGTTAGCTCCCTCCCGTTGGAGATTCCGATTGGACTGGAGTCGGCGCGTGCGCACTAGTTCGGCGCAGGCTCAGTTTGTAGGTGGAAGCCAGAGTGGTGTGGGCGGAAGCCGGGAAGTTTGGGCAGCGCCTGCGAAGGGCTGGTGGTACACACCAGGATGGGTCCCGCGGAAACTACAAGTAAATTTTCTCTCAGTGTGCTGCTTCTTTAATTGCGGTTCCACTTACTGGAAGTTGCTGCCCTGAGTCCCTTCCCCACAGGTTGTACCTCCCGCTATATTGTGAGCTTCTCAAAGCAAGAACTCCTTGGTGGTCTGTGTGTCCCCGACGCCCAGGTCGCAGTCACGGACCCCTGGCTCACAGGAGGGGGAATATACCACATAAATACGTGACTTCTCTGTTCTTATGATGTGACATAGCTTAGTTAGCTTTCTATTGAATGATGATTTTCTTATACAGTTTTCATTGTTCTTTTTACTAGAATTTGTTTTCCTTTTCTTCTTGTAAACTTTAAGCTTTTCATTACTCGCTACTGCTTGAAATCCAATGACTTCTTGAAGACTTTAGGAACCTTCTAATTTACTGCTCTAACTTAGACTGATTCGTTCTGTCCTTCCAGCTGAGAAGTTATCTATAATTCCTTTTCATTTGGTCCCTGGGTTGAGACAGACATTTCTTGCAGGCATCTTGCTGGAGTAACTACCCTCAAGTAACTTTCTCTAGAAGGATGTATAGGAGGCACAAATTTTGAGTAGTTGCATGTTTTTAAATGTCCTTATTCTGCCCGCACCTTTGATAATTTGCCTGACATGGAATTCTAGGTTCAAAAGAAGTTTCTCCTAAATCTCGATGGCATAGTTCCACTGACTTCTGCTTTCACTATTGATGCCCAGAAACATATTGGCCTCCTCACATCTTTGCAGGGAACTATTGTTTTCCCTTGGGAAGCATTTGTGATCTTTTTATCATTCGTCATGTTCTGAAATGTCACCATAATATCTCCGATGGGGTGTCTTTTCTCACTTAATCTGTTTAGGGCTCATTGGGTCCTTTTCAGAGGACGATTCTTTTCTCTCTTCCTCTCGGGAAATTGTCTTCTTTTTATCCTTTGAAATTTCTTTCCTGCCATTTTCTCTGATTTATCACCCTTTCTGGAAATCTTATTGGATGGCAGCCTCCTGGGCTGGTTTTCAATAGCTGGGCATTTTTGTCCCCTCATATATTTCCTTTCCTTTTTTTTTTTGTTTGTTTGTTTTTTAACTTCATGTTCTGGGAGATTTTCTCTATTTTATCTTCCAAAGCTCTATTAAATTTTAAAAAACTATTTTGGCTATTAATGAAATATACTTAAGAGCTCCTTCTTGTTTAATAGCGCCCTGCTTTTGCTTCATGAATGCACACGCTTCTCAAATATCTCTGAGGATATCAATTTTCAAACCTCTCGTGTTTACTAAGTTGTTTTCTCATGTCCCTTTCTTGTTAGTTTATCTCGTTCTTTCCCATTCAGGCTGCTGTAACTCTCCCTCTGTCTGGTGATGTCTGGTTGTCCTTTTGTATTTAAGTATGAAGTCTGAGCTGATTTTTCTAGATAGCTGGTGTGGTTTCTTTCTTCCTCTGTTGTTGATGTGTATTTGTTTCCCTCCTAGGTCAGCATTAAGTTTCCCTCGGCTGTTTGTTAAGTTTCTACAGAGGTTAGAACCCAGTTTTATAATCACAAGGCTGCCTTCCCATGCTTACAGTCACTTCTGGTTTTCCAGAAATTTGTTTTCACTCCCTTATAATCTTTCATTCTCTTCACTTTTAGCCATACATTCTTAATGAAATGTGTCCCTAAGTTCCAGATTTTTATAACCTGGAAACAGGACCAGCTTCCTGGATATGCAAACTGTGTGCAGTGACACAAAGCTCCAGCCTTAGCTGGGCCCCACGGTTAGTTTATTGTTCTGCTATCACCAGCTTGAAATGGTTAATAATTTTTGAACCAGGGGCCCTGCAAATTATGTAGCCATTCCTGCAAGGAAAAGTCAATATTTATCAGAGCTAAGATCCCCTCTGCAGTGTCACGGCCAAGTGCACCATGCTTACACACAGCATGTGCTTCAATACCTCCCTCTGGCAGAATATGTACTATCCCTGCCTTTGAGCCCAGAGGGGGCCAAGCAAAGACAGAGCACGGAAAATGCCTGGTCCCCATGAGGCACTAAAGCCGAATCCTGCGTCTGTACCCTGACACCGAATTAATTCTCGGAGACAGAGTTTCGGGTGAAGTAGAAAAGAATAGCTTTAATACTGTGCCAGGCAAAGGGGGCTGCACTGGGCTGCTGCCCTCAAAACTGTGTGTCCAACCTGGAGTGGATATCGAGGAGTTTTATAGTAATGGTTCAAAGAGGGTGTGGTCAGCTCGTGGGCATTCTTCTGATTGGTTGGTGGGGAAGTAAGTGGGAGTCAGCGTCATCAACCTTCTGGTTCCAACCGGTCTGGGGCCTCCGTGCGTGTGGGCAGCACACAGTTAACTTCTCCCACCTGGAAGGGGTTTCAGTATCTGCGGAACAGCCCAGAGATAATGTGATGTGCATCCCTGGCGAGGGGGTGAGGGGGGGAGGGGGGGTGGTAGGGGGAGACCAGGACCCCGCCCCAAGGCTGCACTATTGTTTCTTTTGACTCTTCCTCCCTTCCCTAATTAGCAACTGTTTCAACCTGCCCGTTGGAGCTCAGGGAAGGTCTTGGAGGCTGAATGAAGCCTATTTCCTGTGATCAAGAAATGGGGGCCACAGGAAGGCCTTCATGCCCAGGAGCCTCATAGGGTCCTGCTCTGTATCAGCACTCCAGACTACGACAACAGTGGGTAAATTCACGTAAATTATTACATAAATCATTCATTTAAAAAATGCCTTTGTCTCCAATAAACTACTTATGAAGAAACATATAAAGTTACCAAGTTAAAATGTGAAAAGCAGGGAGTTCCCTGGCGGCCTAGTGGTTAGGATTCCAGGCTTTCACTGTTGTGGCCGGGGTTCAATCCCTGGTTGGGGAATATCCTGCTGACCAAGTGGCATGGCCAAAAAAAACAGAAATTAAAAAAAAAAATTTGAAAAGCAAATTTCTCATTAAATATCCAAAAATTATATCATTTTTCTTCCAATAACTTCCCCATTAAATCGATAGCCATAGAGTGACTTGAGGTCTCAATAAATTAAACGTTTTCTTCCATTAATGGTATTTTTGACTCTGTCTAATCTCTAAGTTTTTACTAAAATAACAAGAATTGCATCAGCCTTTTTTCTAGGTCATATAACAGTGACAGTCTTTTTTAATAATGTCACTAGATCTATGAAGATAGTTGGGCTGTCATATTACTAAGTTCACACTTAATCCCTCTGGCAGGAAGGGAGGCACTCTCTTCCGCGGTTGCTGAGGTTAAAATCACATTCTGTCACTCAAGTTTTACAAGCTTTTCTGCACCTCATTTTCCTCAACTGTAACATGGAGGTGGCGGCTCTGAGTATCCCATTTCCACCAGTGATGCCTGGCAGAGAGCGAATGTTATATAGATGTTAGTTCTCCTTTCTCTAAATAAAATTAACCATGTTACTACTCCCTAGGGGAGTGTGGGGTGGATTTTTAACAAATTCCTATTAATTAAATGGAGTTGAAATTTAATAGGAAATTAGGACAAGTAGAACCCAGAACCTGGGCATCTCCTAGCCCCAAACTGTCATTGGCCCCATGCACCCCCTGGGGCGTTCTTCACAAATGTCTGAAGTGCCCGGAGATTCCTGGCCTGTGGTGGCCTCTGGCTGAGTTATCCCAGGCAGTTCCCTGAAGGTCAGACGAGAGCAGCTCTGGCCAGCAATGGCTAACTTAACCGTAGCTGGTGCTGGCCAGGCCGTGCTCTGTTCTTCCTGCCGAGGCCCAGTTCTTCAGGCAGACAGAAAAGGAGAGGGGTAGAAAGAGCACGTGCTGAGTGGAAGCCCAGCTCCCCGACTCCCGGGCTCCGTTGGCTTCCAGGTAAGACCTCCCCTCACCCCCACCTCGAGACCATTCATTTTACATCATGGCTTTTCAGATTCTACTTACGGCCTACAGAATGTGAGAAAATATTATTTTCCGTTTTCAGTTTTTAGTGTAAAAATGACATACTAATATTGACTATGCTGTCTTCATCTTGGTAGGTACACTTTCCAGATATTCTCATGGGCCTCCTAGGAATCATGTGTCTCTGAAAAGGACTCTTGTAGACGCTGTTACTCTAATGACGCAACCACAGGTCAAATCATCTCTTACTGGTTGACGGCTGCATGTGTTACTCTTGCTTTCAGATAAAACAACTATTTCATAGGTTATTGTTCAACTCTCTCCATATTCTGTAACTTTGTGATTCAGTTTTAGATAAAAGAGCTAGGTCTTATATCTACTCCTATCAAACTTCATCTTGAGGGCTTTAGTCCATTGTTCCAGCTTTGTCAAGACGCTTGGGTTTGATGGTCTCTTCATTGCGTTCACTGTTCTTTCCAATAGAGTGTCCTCCATGAAGCTGATGCATCCATCCACGGTAGAGCGACGGTGAGAATATCTCGTTGATGTGGCTCGTAGTCTGTGCAGAGATCGTTTCCCTGGCATTTGAGTAGTACAGGAAGATGCAGTTACACATTCGATAGCGTCTTTCATTCAGTGGGCCCCATGTTCTTAGTAAGATTTAACTTTGCCTATTTAACCTAACGTCTCTTGGTTAAAGGCAGCAGAAAACATGGTCAAAGCATTGCTTAACTATGTATAACTTCGCATCTCGTGTTGTTAAACTGCGAACAGACGACAGCGG